TAGTAAATTGTCGGCTAATTATAGTACAAATATAGTTAATCTTAACTTTAAAACCAGTCTATTTTTGCCTCAATACTAATTACATTTTTGTATCAATACAGTATACATTTGATATAATGAACTCACATTTAGCATAAAGTTTTAGGTTTAAAAATACAGGGAAATATTTGTATAAATTTAATAATAAATAATGAATAGGTTTTAAAACTTACAGTTATTTTAAATGTTTAATTTTAAGTAACTTTTTCCCAAATTTAGACAAATATTGTCTTAAAAATAGCAGTTTTGTCTGTGTTTTCCAAATTGAATACTTGTTATCGGTTTGATTGTCAGTCGATTCTGAGATACTATTAATAAATTCAATATTAAAAGTATTAAAAAAAATTTCGATAAAAAAACTTCACTCCCAATATACTGACTGTTTTTGCCAACAATTTTATGGCTTTAATCCAACAAAACGAGTCAAACTCCCGGCGCTGACAGTAGTGTTGAGACACACAGTTTTTCTCCAAATAATTGTACTGTTTATTGAATATTATTTTTAATATACTCTAAGTAAATATAATTTTATTGTAGTTTTTTTATGGCATAAAGTAAACTATTATTAGCTTTTGTCGGCATAGGTACAATAAATACCTGTATACTAGAATTATCAATATTTGCGTTAGCTTTTCAGTTTATTGTTTGTTATTTTATTATTGAATTTTATTTACTGTTTAGATAGGCACTTTTTATTTACTATTAGCACACAACAAACTTATTTGTTTACTATACAAAAATAATATACTAAAACTTATAATTTTAATAGTTTTTACTATACAGTATATTCTTGTGTCCCATAATAGACAGTATTTTCTACTATTGAACATTGATTTCATTAAAAAACTTATAGTTTAATAGTATTGTGCACTATTAGCGTGTATTTAGTCGATAAACAACTGCGATAAATTGAATTATCATTATTTTTAATAGTTTTTTATATACTAATGTCCTGAATGTCATGTCATTCAATGATTGCTAATCTAGATGTTTGTATGCAATGTTACAAATTCATAGCGATTTAATCGTTAGAAATGAGATTAAATTATACTAAACATATCGATTGTCTGATAATGGGATAGGAATGGCATTTCAAAGTCTGGTATTTGTGGGTCTCTGTCTGGAGTTCCCCATAACGACCACTATTTGTAGATTTATTGGGAAACTCTTGAGTTATATCTGTTTTTTTGGGTAATAGCTTTTGTAGTTATATAATGAATTATCTTATAATGAACTCTAAAGTTTGGTATCAAGAAACACAAAATAATTTTCGTTTTACAACTCAAATGTATCGCATGTTTGCATTCATATGCAAACTAAAGGTTTAGATTTTTTAATACAGTAGTGATATATTATTTAGTATAAAATATAAATAAGTTATTTTTGTGAATCAAAAAAGTTTTACAATTATTTTACACACATTTTACGATTTGTATAATTAGTATTGATTTCCACTTTTCCTAATATAATGAGGTATTACTGTATCGGTCGTGCCTTTTGTCGCGTGCGGTGGCAGACATCGGCCAACGGTTGCTACCGAAACATGTCCTCATCGGCCGGGGATGACGTGCTTATGGAGCGCACCGTCAATAAGGGTATAATAACACTGAATCGGCCCAAAGCCTTGCACTCGTTGACCGTTGAGATGGTTAAGAAAATATATCCGCAGCTCAAGAGTTGGGAAACGGATAACACCATGAAAATGGTGATGATTAAGGCCACGGGGGATAAGGCGTTCTGCGCCGGCGGTGATGTCAAATGTATGACCACTTTGTTATGTTTTGTGACGTGTTTTATAGTGAATTGTGTGTGTTTTATGGTAGCGATCGCACTGTCCGGAAAGGGAGCGCCGATTACCGACGAGTTCTTCCGAGAGGAATACCGCATGAATAATCTGATCGGTTCCCTATCCATACCATATGTCTCACTAATCAACGGCATTGTTATGGGAGGGGTGAGTGTTTGTCCACAAGTTCTATACATACCGTGTATTGATTACTAATTACATGTCTGTCCACTGGCCCTCACAGGGCGTCGGTATCTCAGTTCACGGCCCGTTCCGTGTGGTGACAGAGAAGGCGGTGTTCGCGATGCCGGAGACGGCTATCGGTTTTTTCCCGGACGTGGGCGCCAGTCATTTCCTGCCCCGACTGCCCGGCAAGTTAGGCCTATTCCTGGGCCTAACCGGCCACCGACTGTCCGGTCGCGATATAGTGAAGGCGGGCGTCGGCACCCATTTCGTGCCCAGCGCTCACCTCAAAGACTTGGAACAGGAGATCATGCGTCTGGAGAACCCGGACCTGCACTCCATCGACAAGATTCTCACCAAATATCAGGAACAATGGGAACAGGACTTCAAGAAGGAGTTCTCACTGAAGCCACAGATCGGACGCATAAACAGTGCGTTCGGCGGACAGTCTGTCGAAGAGATTGTGGCGAACCTGAAGAAAGACGGCTCCGAGTGGTCGAAGGCGCAGCTGGAAGTGCTCAGTAGGATGTGCCCCATGAGTCTCAAGTTGACGTTTGAGGAGTTGAAACGGGGCCACAGCTCCACACTACCCGAGTGCTTGAAAATGGAGTTCCGTTTGTCGCAGCACTGCATGAAAGCCGACGACTTCTTCACTGGAGTCACCTCTGGTCAGTAGCCGTTCCCCTGAATCACTTATTTTGCGCTCAAATTATAGTTGAATTTAAGTGTAATATGTTTTCCATGTGTTTGCAGTACTCGTTGACAAATCAAAGGCGCCGCCCGTTTGGAAGCACCGGACGCTGGAGGAGATCAGCGACGCCGAAGTGCAGTCCTATTTCCAGCCGCTGTCCGCCCCTCACAAAGAGATACAGCTATAGCTCTATATGCCTTCCGATGTTTTTTTGTCTCATTTTCATAGATTGCATGCGAAATGCAAAAGATTTATAATTTAAATGAAACGTCTTTTTATCGGACGATATATACTAAACGAAACGGAAATTGTTTTTTAGGTTTAATTTACATATGAAATACATTTTAC